AGAGAGACAGTAAAGCGTAAAACCCTTTTGAAACCGGACTTGATGACTGCCAGCACTGCCTCCTCTGCCGTTCTTCAGCCGAGGCCCGAAAACGTTAGCACACTAGCACTCCACTCCCTAGGATAGGCACTCCACGTAACGACCACCGAATGTTGATGCCAAATTTCCCTGACCACATGTGGCAGTGCCAACAGCACACAATCCTGCACATCGGGATCCGCCAGTACATCAATGTTAAATACATGCTTTGTCATGAGACAGTAGCTGCAGACCTGTATCAGAGTATCTACTGGGAAGCTGGCCGCTCCAGCCTCTCTATCCAGCATGACTGCCCTGAGACTGCCTTGATACGGGAGGACAAAGACAGGCACATACCACCCTGTAAACTCAGCAGCTTGCAGAGGATGCCGCCAGCTTTCCCAGATCTGTGGCAGAAAATAGCCAAGGTCATCAGTGTGCTGCATCGCAAGTGCATCAGCTTTATCATTCCAGCAAACCTTATCATGCGCTAAAGCAGCTATGTCCTCCGATTGAGTTGGCCCCTCGGGCAGCAGACCCAAGGTCTGGCAGGCTTGCGAAGCCCAACTGAGCATGTGATTCCAAGGCCCTCCCACAGACAGGGCTTGCTCCACGCACGAAGGCGCATAGAGCGAAGCAAGCTCCAGAGACTGAGTTCGCCTACGAAGACAATGACCAACATACGTCCACTTACGCTTGACAATCGAGTAGACCCACTGCTTGCGACGATTCAACCTTAACAGCTGTTGTGCCACGCGTCTCCGCTGCCTATTCAAGGCAACTGCCCTTGCATGTGACAACGTGTGGTGAATATGGAGTTTCAGCATGAGGACTACCACGGTATGGCAGAACGGTTGAGCGAATCGAAAGCTTGCCGGACATCCACCAATAACCATAAGGCATGTCTCCCCGTCCTATATTCTTTATAGAGTAGCTGCTGGGCAGACCAAATACAGGTGACGACCTGCGATCCAGGCAAACCTCCTTTCTGACTGTCGGGAAGCTCGCATTGTGTCACCCACCTCCTAAAGACCAAACCCCCAAACAATTTCAACATGGTCTCCATGAGAGCAATGGGCCTAAACTGGTTGGCAGCAACAACTTGAAGTTTCTTGGGCAGGAGGCACACGAAGCACTCATAGTAGTCACTGGGCATATGACTTGGATCCTGCAGCATCAAATTGAGGTGGCGAAGCAGGAAGGCCAAGCCATCGTCTGTGCTGGCAACTGCAACGACAAGCTCAGCAGGAACTCCACTACAACCAGAAGTTTTGCCTGCATGAACAAACTTGGAGATGTGCATGTTGACTTCCTGCTTCGTGAAAGATTGTATCGGTACACCTGCAGCTTTCTCCTGAAGGGCCGACAGTAGCTCAGCACACTTGGCAACTTCCCCCATTGAGGCAGAAGCCAGGATGCCCTTGAGGTGGTCTTCGAGTTGGGTTGCAGCTTTAGTCCGTCCCCCAGCTGATGCAACAAACCCATTCACACATGGTTTTGCATGAGCCCTTTTTCGTATGAATGCTATAGCCTTTCCATCTCCAGCTCCAGCCTTGCTTTCCAACTCTGCCCACCACTTGCGCCGTTCATGTGCTCTTTGCGCCAGGATCACGCGGCTGAGGCGAACGCGGGCTTGGGGTTCGACAAGGCAACGTCTTTGTCGGCAGAGCTCTTTGATGTAGGGACTGTCTTTGTACTTCAGGGACCCTCTAGCAACACAACAGCGACGAGAGAGAAGTTGAAGTGCTTCCCACTGCTTCAACGCATCCTGTTCAAGGGTGGGTGTGAGTAGCAAAGCGACAGCCTCGTCGAAGCCCTCTGTCTTGACGTAAGCTTTGCGGCAGCCCGTGGGTCTTCTGTCCCTCTGCCTCTTGAGTCGCGGCCCCTTCGGGGCCAGAAGCAGATCCAGGCTGACGAGCGCATGGTCATTGTCAAGCTCTTGTCTGGCCGTGTCATTGACAGCAACACTGAGCACATCCCCTGCATCCAGATACTGAAGTCTGCCCCTGTCTTTGATGTTGACGAAAAAATAATCATACCGCCTGGTACTGAGCGCCCCAACCCAAATATCTGATTCCGGATAAGCCAAAGTAAAGCCCTTGGAGTGAAGAAGCGAATTAAGCTCCAGAAATCTCTGATCTCCCTGTTGGCAGTTCCAATCACCAGCAAAGAGAATGACATCTGCTGAGGAGGCCCTGTCCGTGGCCCCCTCCACTTCCAGAAGAGCATCCTGAAAGAGCTGCTCCCCCGAAGACTTGTGCGGAAAGTGTGCTCCTAGAACAAAGAAGACTCCCGGCAACATTCGATGTGAGAAAACAACCTCAACACATCTTCTCCCAGCGTGAGTCGCAATGACCGAATCCACCACTGACTCATCAAGTAGGATCACTTGGCTAAGGTGTGAATCTCCCTCCCATGTACCAAAAACCCTGTAATCAACCAGCTCGCTTTCCTCGGGAAATGAGAGCTCCCTCAGGGAGCCAAGTCCTGAGGACTCCTTGCACCTAATTTCCCTGAGACCTCCAACCTCCTGAAGAACCACTACATCAAGTGCTTCAGCTACTGGCCCTTCGGCACGTCCTCGGAGATTCCAAGAATGTGAATGTACAACGAAAGGGCCCTGAACCGAAGCACCGTCACTAGTGGCTCCCAGTCAGCTTGATCTCAGTTTTGCTTCGAGCTCACCCATATCCACGCCACCAAGCTTGCCAGCAAGAACGCTCAAGTTGAAATGACAATCACCATGCAACCGCAAACTCTGCCCCGCGAACCTGACAGCGATGACCCTCTGTCCACTTTCTGCAAGGAGACTGCCAGCATCTAGAGCCATGACCCTCCCTCCCTGAATCCAAACGACAGCCATGTTCCAGTCAATCTCCACTGTCTCGTCTTCACTGGTCAGACCTGCTGCACGAAGAAGTCTGTCGAAGCCTGCCCTTAGTAGCTTCCCTTTCTCTCGCACAGCAAAAGGCTTCGAAGGGCTGATCCACAGGGCGTTGCCGTTCCTCAGTTGCATCTTTTTGTTTACGAAGGGGAGCATGTCAAAGAACCTTGAGCGCGCATCTCGGTCGGGAAGTGGTTTCAAGACTAAGTGTGCTGTCCATGCTCGCTTTCCCACAACATAACTTCTGGCCGTGATATCTCCCAGCTTGAAGTTCTGGATAAAGAGTTGGACCTCCTCTTCTATCAAGGCTCTACGGGTGTCCCGATCCCAACCTCCAAGAATCAGATGATTAAAGTCGGACTCGTCACGAAGATGGCTAGGAGGGGGAATGCAGACACCTGGCCCAGGAGAACCAAACATCGTTGAGGGGTCACTCCGAGGTGAAGAGCCGCAGGGACCACTGCCTTCCTTGCCTTCAATGGCCTTCTGTATCAGACTCATCTGCTCTTCAAGCTTCTGAATGCGAGTATTGTCAGACATAACCTGATGCTCCATATGCCCAACTCTGGAAGCGAGCTCCTCATTCTGATGCAGAACCCGGTCCAGCTGAGACCCTAAACCTTAAACACTATAAACCCAGCCCGTCCCCATAAACCATAAACATCTTCTCCGACACGAACGAGAAGCCACACGAAATCGTTTTAGGGGGGTTAAAAGCGAAGAAAAGAAATTAAATACTGCATAACCGAAGAATAAAGCAGGAACATCTTC